AGCCAGCTTTGTAGAGGCGGTAGCAGAATGACAGTTGCCAAGAACTAGAGGTGAGAGGGCACGGGGGTTCGCGTTCCATGGGCACAGAGGTTCAGGTCTGAAAAGCTCTGGCGATGAATGGTGGTAGATGGTGGCAATGATTGCAGAAAAATATGAATGCGCACAATGCTGCAAAGCTGTGCTTAATGGTTCAAGTATCTATTGTATCTTTCAGATTTTATCTACTCTTTCAGGTTTTTACACTAGGGAGACAATACAGTGCTTACACATGCGGATCTGATTTATTTCACTTATGAAGTATGGTTTCTAGCTGCATCCATTTACCTATAGAAGCTTTGTGTTTATCTTTTTTATAGCTCAGTAATACTCCATTGTATAAACATACCACATCTTTTTTATCCATTCCTCAGTTGGTGGGCATTTGGATTGTTTCCAAGATTTTGTGAAAGGGAAAGAAACTGTTTAAATGGAAGGAACAACTGGGATGAGGGAAAGGAGAAAAGAAATAAGGGGAAAATATGTATATACACAGAAGCTTGGATAATTGCACTGCTCATTTCTACCAGTCTGTTGAAAGGAAGAGTTAATGCTTAATTTTTTGGACCAATTTTGCATGCTTACATCTGGGAATCTGAATGACTAATTTGAAGACAATATGCAATATAACAACCATTGTTGAATTCCTCTTATTTTGTTTAGTGAAAAAAAATTGTTCAAGGGCTGGTGAGATGGCTCAGTGGTCTAAAGCACCTACTTAGAACAAGCTTAGCAAAGCACAGGGACCGCGGTTCAATCCCCCAGCACCACATGCCAGCCAGCCCCGCCCCCGGTGGGCTGAGCTAGCCACACACACACACACACACACACACACATAAATAAATAAAATTAAAAAAAAATTGTTCAAATGATAAAATGTATGCTTATATTTTATCACAATTTTTAAAAATATAACACCCCCCCAAAAAAAGAAAAATCTGTATTTCTACCCAGCTGCCCAAGTCCCACGGAGTCTGTGGGAAAAGTGTCCTTTCTGTCTCCATGGACACGCCCAGGCTCGGGCTTCCAGCCTCCCCTTCACTCCCACAAGCTCCCATGTTCCCGCCTCTGGCCCTAGCCATGCTCCACTGTCTTGAGAACCACCTCAGGACCCAGCAGAGCCCTGCTACTCTCCACCCGACAGCCTAACGCCACACCCCCACAATGAAAGCCAGCTGCGTCTCTGCAGCAAGGAAGGGTCTTTCAGACGTGCCTCTCGGCCCTTCACCAGCTTGTCTTTCCTGACACCAGCTCTCTTGTTCTGAGCTCAGTTCCAGTGGTGGATTAACTGGTGGGCAGCTGGTAACGCCCAGCGGAACTGAATTAGCACAGTGCTGGGCGTGGAGGGCCTACCTGGGGATTGCTGCCAGCAGCATACAGGGAGACTGGAGGGGAGACGCTGCCGTGGCTCTCCTGGAGAAGCTTGTCACATCAGATTTACTGAAGAGCTCAGCTGCTCTCACGGTCAGAGGAGCTCGGGTCCTCGCTGTCGCTGAGATGGCTGTGGTTCTTTTCAGGGGAGCTCTGGTGCTCACCTTGGGTCGCTTCCTGGCCCCAGTGCAGACCCCTCAGCCTGCTGGCACAGGTCCTTCACCCTGCTAGCGCAGACTTTCTAGCTTCCACCGCTGCCCTTGGGCCGTTCCCAGCACAGATCATTGATGGAGCCTTGCCTGAGACATTGCCGGGGCTCCAGGCCCTCAGCTGGATTCTTGGGGGTCTCTGGTGTTAGACAGATTGCTTTATGCTCTTCTGCGTTTGACTTTCAGGTGAATATTATAAATAGTCCTATAACTTATGTGTCCTGTGTTAAACTTTTGTCCTTGTAAACCCTAGCTGTACCAGGTCCCTAAATATTTCATGTTCTGTTATGCTTCCGTGCACGTTTTACTGAGAACACCCACTGGGATAATTCCTACTCCTTCTTTGCACGTAGATCAAACAGCCAGGTGTCAGAACCTCCTGTCTGCCTCACCCTCCTTCTCCAACAACAGACCTCAGCCCAGACCCACTCAAGAGTTTCTTTCTCTGTACAGCTCCGTCAGATGCTGCATGTTCGGTTCCACAGCATCTTCATGAGAGTGAAATCTCTTTTTCCCATAGAGCCAGTCACTTTTTGGTTCCCCAGTACACATAAGCTATGTGCACCCTGTAAAGTAGTCTATTAATTAAGTGTGTACTATGTTTAAAACATGGTGTGTAGCTGAATGTAAAGGTATTTTCCCACTACAAATGCTAGCTTATCTCAGCCTGCAGGAGTCTTGTATGCTGTACACACTGGCGGTACGGGTAGAACCTTTGCACTGAGCTACAACCCCAGCCTGTTTTATTTTGGGGACAGGGTCTCACTAAGTCACCAAGTGCCTGATAGCTAGGCTGGGCTCAAACTCTGAATCCTCCTGCCTTAGCATCCCTGAAGTGCTGGGGTTACAGGTGTGCGCCAGCGTTCCCAGCTCATGCGGCGATGCTCTTTGATAGCATTTCACTCAGTAAAACTTTCAGGGCTACTCCCCTTGCTCTCCTGCACATTTGCAGCTGGCTCCTGAGCTCAGGTCGGAGTCCCTGTCATCCAGAGGAAAGACCTACTGCTTCCAAACTCCTGTTGAGGTGGATATTTTCGTTTTCTCCACAAATCATGAATGCTCTTAATGACATCTAGAATGGTGAATCCTTCCCAGGCTTTTTTTTTTTTTTGTTGTTGTTTTTTTTTTTTTTGCGGAACCAGGGATTGAACTCAGGCCCTTGAGCTTGCCAGGGAAGCGCTTATTCTACTGAGCCAGCTCCCCAGCCCCCCAGAAGGTTTTGATTTACTTTTCCCAGGTCCATCAGAGGGATGAGGCCCTGTGAATGGCAGCGACAGCCTCACGTTTTAAGTATTAACTTGAAAGTTGAAGTTACTATTTGCCCATGTGCTCCAGCGTGTATCTTGTGTTGGCAGCCATTACAGCTCCACTGGAGCCTGCAGTGACCAGGTGCCTTGTCAACAAGCTATAGTATGTGAAAGGAGTCTCTCCCCTGAGCCCACGGCCTCAGCCCTGGCTTATCCTGTGCATGAGCCCTGCTGCAAACAGAGCTGCTATCCTCCAGGCTTGCTTGACATACTTGGAGAGCGCACACAGACTGGATTCAATGTGCCTTGTGAAGGCCCAGCACTCAGAGATGGTGCCTGAGCACCTCGCGTCCTCCTCCAGCTCTCAGGAGAGAGGGCTGCCTCCTGGGTGGGCACTAAAGCCGGACACAGTCATCTCCTATCCAGCAGTGAAGGTCCCAGAGGCATCTTCTGCCAGCTTGAGGCTGTTCTGTCCACGTAAGAATCTGTGGGTGAGGACAGCCACCTTCAGTTAGCTCAGCTAGACCTTCTGGGTAACACGCTGGAGTTCTGACCGGAACATGCCAGCTCACCTTGTACTCTTGTATTAGAGAGATGGCGTCTTTCTTACAACCTCAGAAGTCAACCTCTGCCAGCTTCAGACTTTTCTTCTGCCCTTTCTCTCAGCATTTATAGAACTGAAGAGAGCTGGGGCCTGCACTGCACTGGGGTTGGCTTAGGGGAACACTGTGGCTGGCTTGATCCACTGGACCCTAACTTTCCCTCGGGCCCTCACTTTCCCCAGGTGAACAACAGGCTGTTTCCCTCTCTCACTGGAGCAGCACTTGCAGTTTCCTTCCAGAACTTTCCCTGTGCATGCACAGTTGGCTGCTTGGAGTGAGAGGCCGCACTCTGAGCCCATCTCAGGGCTTGGCATGCCTTTGTTACTCAGCACAATCATTTCTAGGCTTTGATTTCAAGTGACAGGCACGTAGCTCTTTCTTTTACTTAAATACCTAGAGGACACTGTGGAGTTAGTAACTGGCCTAATTTCAGTATTTTTCTGTCTCAGAGAATAAGGGACTCAAGGAGAGGAGGGGAGAGGCAGAAATGGCCAGTGCGCGGAGCAGTCACGACACACACTTACCTACAAAGCCCACTGTTTTACACGGGCAGATTTATGCCACTACAAGACAAGTGCAGTGCAAAGATTCAAAGATCACCACAGAAAACATTAGGAAAAATTTTGAGGAAACCTTGTAATCTTCCACTACCACACCAGCCCTGCCCTGGGCATGTTGAGCCAGCCACTGAGACCAGGCGTGGTGGCGGGCACTCCTGTAATCGCTGTGCTGGGGAGGCTGAAAACAGGAGGATCACTATGAGTCTGAGCTGCATAGTGAGACCTCATACCAAATACAGTAAAAAAAAAAAAAAAAAAATCAACAAAACAAAAATTTGCAATGCCTAAAAGGTGACCCATACATATTAAGTGAACACACACTGTTGAAAAAAACGATGCCAATATATTTATTTGCTGTAAAGTTGCCACAAACTTTGAATCTGTAAATACCATAAGTACACAAAAGAAAATGCAATAGGGTGAGGTCTACCTGAATTCACATTATTCCTTATATTTACGGCACAGTATTTAAATATTTGCCAAGAGAAAGTGCTCTGGCGCCAGACTGCCAGGGTTCTAATCCCGGCCCAGCACTTACTTTGTAAACTTTCAAGTTACAAGTTACTTAGCCCCTCAGAGCTGGGGTTTCACTAGTTATGAAATGGGGATTACAGTACAGACCAGGGAGAACAGTGGTGAAGATGAGATGAAGCTGCTCAGATCTGTGCCTGGTCGCTAACAGGTATCATTAGCAATGGTAGCTGTGGTAGGAAGAGTACAGTATTTCTGCCACAAGACAGACTTTTGACAAAGTAAGGTATTCGTAAAGCCTTGAACTGCATGCACTCAAACAGTATTCATAGAAACATAAGCAAGTCAGAGAGAAAGGAAGGAAGAAAAGAAGGAAGGGAGGGAGGGAAGAAGGGAGGAAGGGAGAGAGGGAGGGAGGGAGAGAAAAAAGGGAAGAAAGAAGGAAAGAAGGAAAGGATGGCGGAGGGAAAACACAACTAGGAAAAAAGAATTGGGAAGACTTACCGCCATTTTTGCCCACAGTTCGGAAGCACCTCCAGAAGGCCCGTAAAAATGATGCCCTGTTGTGGGGTGTGGCTTGGATGAAGCTGAATTCCCGAAAGAGAATATGAGTTCCCTGGCACACGCTATTAAAACTGCAAAGAGAAAAATTAAGAGACTATCGTTATTTGGAATTTAGGAGTCAGGATTCAGAATAAAAATTCAAGATCAATGGAACCACTGCCAAAAAGGGGGGGGGGGCTTTTTCTGCCTAACAAAATTGAACTAGAGATGGGACTGAGTCCTTCGACAGGGAAGCCTCTTCATCCAACAACAGCCTTCTGGAAACTCAGGGAGTCCGGCTCCTCTGGACGCTTGCATCCTAGCATGTACACCCCAAGGAAGCCACTCACTTACTGGAACACCTTCATAAGGGGGTGCTCTTTTAGTCCACACCTGGGTGACAATGCCATGCCTATATTTTTGGAGAACATGTCTCCCTATACCGTTCCTAGTAGAGATTCTTTCTCTACTGTTCCCATCCCTACACCCCTGCCATGCACACTGGGCTGTGTCCAGCGTGGGGCTGGTTCTGTGCACTTCCTCGACATAATACAGAGACAAATCCTAATACAAGGGCCACCAGGGCTAATAGGAAGAAGGGTAGAAGGTTGCCCCAAGGTAAGAGTGTGAAGCAAAGTCTCGGCCCAAGTGAGTCACTGTTTAAACCAGCCAGGGGAGGGAAAAACACACTCCCCGGCCTTTGGGTTCTCCTGCCAAAGACAGGCCTAGGAGCCTAGTGTAGTCTAAAAATGGAAATTCCACAGAAGAATCGGCAATTATCCAGTAATCATCTCCTCCATGGCAGACTCTGGGTTCCAGAAAACTGACTTCTCTGACAAGTAAATCATGAGTGGAAAACATGTTCCTGGTTGGGAAGCAGACCTTACACCGAAGATGGCAAGGCTCGTCAAGGATCTGGTAATTTTAAATGCCAGCCTTCATTTGTTATCATTTGCAGGCAGTGTGTGTGTGTGTGTGTGTGTGTGTGTGTGTGTGTATCTCTGAACTAAAAAGGAACCAATTTTAGAAGCCAACCCCTCCATTCCTGTCTCCCACAGCACCTTTAGGTAAAAGTGTCTGTCTACAGTTTGTCACAGACAGCAGGTATCATGTGGGATAACATCAGCCTCTTCAAATTTAACCGTGTTGTAACAAAAAATTGAATTATCTACCCTTCCTTTCTCATGGAAAACTAGCATAGAAATCTACCTTTAAGGCACTATGAAGAAGTAAGAGGACAGTGTCTGGCAAAAGACAGGCAAGGGAAGAGAAGCTTCGCCAAAGCCACGTTGCTGTCTTACGCAAGGCAAATGGAAACTACAGCAGATGAGCCGTTCCAGGTAACAGTGCAGGGCAGCCCACAGCTCGGGACGGCTGACAGGACAGCACTGTGGCCTAAATCCACGAGGCGAGCGAGTAGAGAAACCCTGCCTTCCCCCAGGAGCATCCATCGCGAAGGAACCAGAGCTGGGAAGGCTTCACAAGGGCCTCGGGGAAGGAGCTCCTGACAGCCAAATCACACCCTTTGTGCAGATTATGTACACACAAGCCAGCTAAGATAATTGTACTACTAATTTCTATTAGTGCACTGAAAGGAACGGTTTGTGCTTACATCATCTGATCGATTTTGCATGCCTGTATCTCCTAATCTGAGCAACTACTTTGAAGTAACAATATGCAATATAATAACCATTGGTAATTTCCCATCATCATGTTTTGAAATTCTGTATCTTTTCTTTTTCCTCTCTTTGAAAAAACAATCTTTCCAGGCCTGTGGCACACACCTGTAATCCCAGCATTCAGGAGGCTGAGGCAGAAGCACTGTCGAGAGTTCAAGACCAGCCTGGGCTACAAAGTGAGCTCAGGGGCAGCCTGAACTGCATGGTGAGACATTGTCAAAAACCAAAACCTAAACCCAACACCGTGTTTTGCATAGTTCTTTCCTGACCGCTCCCCCACGCCAATTCCTAGTAGCACTCATTTATGCTCCAAGACACAACTCGCTTTCTGGTTTTAAAGTCCTTGGGCCTCTGTCTCCTACCAGACCGCACGCTCTGTGCAGTAAGTAGGTCACATTCATCTTTGTCTCTTCATGCGACCTAACAGAGACACTTCGTAAATAGTGGTGGTAGCTTACTTAGAAAGATAAGAAAAAAAAATTGGATAATACCAGGCAGAATGAATCTTTGCAGTTGCTCATGCTGGAAATTCTGAAAGTTTATGTTTTATGGCTTTTTAAAAAGTCCAGTCTCTAGACTGATGTTGGTAGTACAACTTTGCAGTATTGACTTTGCTTTTAGTAGTATTTTCCTGGCATATCTATTTCTGTGCTTTTAATTTTAACTTTTCTGGGTCACTTTGTTCCTCTACTTAACCCTACAGTTTGCGCAGTAGCGAGGGACTTTTTATTGTATTTACTTGACTTCTGACATCTTATTTTATCTTTCCAGTGAGCTGTTCCTCTCTGTTTTTTTTCCACTTTTCCTGCTTTCCATTGTACTAGTAAAGCTTAAAATAATTTTTTTGTATCTCTTCTGTTAGTAAAGAAGCTATAGACAAAATCTGTAATCTTTTAATATTCCTCTTAAAAATTTAACAAATTTCTCCACATATTGTTATTTTTAGTACTAAGAATTGAATGTAGGGCTTATGCACTAAACTATATCCCTAGTTCTTTTTATTGTTTATTTTGAGACAGGGTCTTACTAAGTTGCCCAAGTGGGGCTCAGACTTGTGATCCTCCTGCCTCAGCCTCCCAGAGTACAGGGACTACAGGAGTGTGCCACACATCTGGCTCTTATCTATACATTTTTCTAAAATATTTATTTATTTTTATTGCTTCTGGTGGTACCAGGGATCAAACTCAGGACTTTGCACTTGCCAGGCAAGCATTTATTCCACTGAGCTATCTCCCCAGTCCTTCAAAAATGTTTAAAATTACTCATTATTATTCCCTAAAACAAGGTCCAAAATTCACTTCAAGTAGAACTTTTTTTTTCTTTCTGGTGTTGAGGGTTGAATCTAAGGCTTCACTTGCTAGGTAAGCACCCTACCATTAAATGACATTCTCATTTCAGAAAAAAAAAATTAATATGATAAAATATAATTTTTTATCATTTTAGCTAGTGCTAAGTGTGCAGTTTAACAACATTAGATGTAATAATTCCCTATTGGATACATGGTTTCTATCTTAATTTTTTTTATTCCGCAGGTTGTTGTCTTTTCACGTCTTGGTAGCATTCTTTGATATACAAAGCTTTCTTGTTTCTTCTCATTTATTTTGTACTTGCTAGCTCTTTGACTCACAATGTGTACTCAACTGTTACCACACTGTTACACATGTGACTGGGGTATGATTGAGGCTCACTGAAGCGCTGGACAGACAGGACCACTACTTCCACATGGACTCCTGGGAATTTTGGGAGCTGTGTCCCAGGCAGGGGTCATTACTTTGTCTGAGTTTCCCTCCAACAGGTGGGATCCAAGAGGTTGGCACCTATGGTGGTGATGGTTCTGGTCTCCCCAACCCCGAGAGACAAGTCATTGGTCACCTCTGCCTGCTGCCCCTGCTGTGGGCATGGGCGCTATGGTTTCTGTCCCATCCACACTCCTGCAGCTGTGTTTAGTTCCCAATCCACACAGGAATTCAGACTGGTTTTACATGTATATTCCTTACAGTTTCTCTTTAGGAAATTGTACATATTGTCATGTGTTTGGAATGAAGTAGAGGCCCAAGTCATAAACCCTGCACACCATCATCACAAGAATCCAAAAGCAACCGCCTACCTATATAGTGGAAATGCATGTTTATGCTCAATTTCTGTTATATTTAGCTAAACTGAGAAGGTCTTTACTGGACAGCAATCTTTCCTATAAAATAAAACAAAAAAGTCCCCACAGACATTTGCAAGGCCGTGCAGAAGTGTACCACATCTTCGCCCGCTCTAGCACCACCACTCCAAAGCCTTTCGTTCTGCTGCTGCTGTTTTATTTTGAAGATTTTAATTTTTAAAAAGTTCAACATGATTTCAATTTTACCAAAAAGTTATAACAACAATTCTCAAGTACCCTTCACCTAGATTATATTTGCTCTCAATTATGAACTACACATTATACATGATTATCTTTAGACTTCTGTAAAAGTTGTAGACGTGATGATCGTTCGTCCTCCACAAGGTGTAGGTCCTAAAACTAAGGAACATGCTTATATAATGACAATGCAATGAATAAATCAGCAAATTAAAATTGATACACTATAATCTACAGACCCTACCAAGAGTTCACCAGGCATGCCCCGCTTCGTTTGTAACAAGTAAGAAGCCAAGACCACTGCGTACAGCTGTCCTCTCATCTCCATCTGAAGGAGTTCCCGAGCCTTGTATTTCATAACTCTGACTTCTTCTTCTTCTTCTTCTTCTTCTTCTTCTTCTTCTTCTTCTTCTTCTTCTTCTTCTTCTTCTTCTTCTTCTTCTTCTTTTTCTTCTTCTTCTTCTTCTTCTT